TAGTTTGGGGACACAAAAAAGTGCAGATAACAACAAAATGAACTTCTGTGTACCCACCACTCAGCTTAAGAATAAAATTTTAAGTCCCCAGAAATAACTACTATTCTGCATTTGATTTTTCCCCCTTTTTGCCAGAGAGAGAACCCCCAAGTGGGGTTTGATTGTGTTGCAGTCCCTTTTTCTCCATCTTTCCATCCCATCAGGATTTGGGGCATACACATACATGTGCCTCACATGATTTTCAAGCTGCTGAGGCTAGAATTTGAACCTTGATCCAGTTCCTTTAACCATTGTACTGCAGGGCCCTATTTGATATTCTTCATCCTCATGCATGCATTTTACTTTTATTACGTTTGCCTGTGAATAACACACAGTGCTGGCTTTCTTATTTTTAAGATTATTTAAATGACGGACCAGCAGATAGCATAGTGGTTACATCATTGGGCTCCCACATGGCTGACCAAGGTTCAAGACCTGAACTTGGTGGCTTAAAAATCACACTGGGCACATGTACAGAGGAGACTGGGAGGAGAGGGGATTGTGGTGTGGCTACTCCCACTGGAGGGGAGAGGCAATTTCTCACTTTCCCTCTTACTATCTCTGTCTCCAGTAAACACACTCACCCTAAGGCAAATCTCTTTTAAAAAGGTTTTTTTTTTTTTTTTTTTATCTAAATGATATTCTATTGTTATCGTTTTACAGACTGCTTTTTTTCCTCTCTGGTCTTAAATTGATAAACCATTCTAGTTTATTCTATTCTTAAAAATTTTTTCCAGAGGGGGGATCAGCAATTAGCGTAATGGCTATGTCACGGAACTCCCATGTAGCTGACCGTGGTTCGAGTCCCAGAACTCACGCCACTGGGTCTGGGACTCGAACCGCGGTCAGCTACATGGGAGTTCATTCTCCTCTCGAGATCTTGGGCATGCACAAGGCAATCTTGGGTGCATGTGTGTGTGTGCCAAAAATCCTGAATGGAGAGTGAAGTGGGGGAGAGAAGAAGAGTTCATGGTGTGACCATTCCCCATGGGAAGTGCTTTCTCACCTTCCCTTCCCCGCCACCTCTTTCTTTGGTGAGCGTACATTCCCTGTGGAAAAAAAAATTTTTTTTTCCACAGGGAATGTACGCTCACCAAAGAAAGAGGTGGCGGGGAAGGGAAGGTGAGAAAGCACTTCCCATGGGGAATGGTCACACCATGAACTCTTCTTCTCTCCCCCACTTCACTCTCCATTCAGGATTTTTGGCACACATGAGCACCCACCTGATGTGTTTCTCAAGCCACAGGGTCCAGGACTCAAACTGCACAATTGGCCACGTGGGAACCAGCCACCTTAACCACCATCCACAGGCTGGTCCAGTTTATGCTTTTCATGCTACATAGTATTCTACTTTTTATCTGTCTCAAATATATTCATGATTCGCCTTTGCATGGACAGTTTATTTCCAGTTTGTCATGTTCGTAAACAAAGCTGCTGTGACATTCTTATTGGGGTCTTGTAGAAACTTGCAAGGGTAGAACTGAAAGGGTGGAGAGCGTATGTCCATCTTCACCCCTGCCAAACGTTGTGGCCAAATGGCTCACCAAAGTGTTTCGACCAACATCTGCTGTCCCCACAGTGTCTGAGCTTTTCCCTGCCCCGTAACCACACTGAAGTTCAGTGTAGTCAAACATTTATTTTATTTTGTAATTTTTGCCAGTCTGAAAATAAAATTGAATCTCTTTATCATTTGAATATTTATTTCCCCGATTACTCAGTTTATTGGGAGAAGGCTTTTATGATGGGCCTGACAGCATACCCACAAAGCCAAGGAGGAGAACAGGCACTTGAGTCCTGCAGGTGTGGTCCTCAGACTCTCTGGGCACACCCTTCACTTCGCGCCATTACTCTGGCTGTCCCCTCTACTTGGAATGCTCGCTCTCTTACCTCCTTCAAGTCATTGGCAGCTCTCACCGTCTCAGAGAAGGTGACGTGGCACTTTCCTGACTTGGCACTGACAGTGCACCAGCCCATCAGCCACTCCTGGTACCCTGCTGAGCCATGTTTTTCCTTCATTACGCATGTCACTGTCCCGCCATCTGTGTTAGTTACTTAGCTACCGTCTTCTATAACTGTTATATATCCCTGTCTGTCCTTTATCTCCTGTAGATGTAGTTTCTGCAAGAGCAGGCATCTTGGTCTTTCACGTCTATCTTCCTAGGACACTGCCCAGCACATAAGTACTCAGTAAAGGATTTTTTAAAATCATAGAGAACATATGCATAGGTGCTTGCATGTGTTTGCAAGAGAGAGAGAGAAAGAGAGAGACACCTTCAGTAGGATCTTACCATGCTTCAGTCTCCTTTCCCAGCTCTCCAGCTCCTGAGGATCCTGGCCTTTCAAACCAAGCTGAGATCCACATTCACGGTTGGCCATATGGCTTCCAGCCTTACAGTCAACACTGTGCCACATGACTGGGCCTTCAGGAAATATCTGTTGATTAATCAATAGGCTCAGGCCAGTCAGTGGCATGGTGGTTAAAGCAGCTGGATCCCGCATGGCTGACAGCATGGTTCGAGTCCTGGACACAGCGACTTAAAAAACACACTGGCTGCATGTGCATTTATGTCCAAAATCCCAAACCAAGGGAGAAATGAAGAAGGGATTATAATGTGACCATTGCCTCAGAGGGGGAAGGGTGATTTCTCATTTTCCTTCTGTCTCTCTTTCCAGCAAGTGCACGCACCTTCTGGCAAATCAAATGTATATATTTATTTTTTAAAGTAAGCTGGTCTTGGTACCAGCAGATGGCATAATGGTTATGTCACTGGACTCCCATGTGGTCTACTGTGGTTTGAATCCCAGACCTGGTGGCTTAAAACTCACGCTGGCCCATATGTGCCCAAAATCCCAAGAGGAAAATGGAGGAGAAGGGATTGTGGCGTGGTCATCCCCTCCTGGAAGGTGATTTCTTGCTTTCTGTCTGTCTGTCTGTCTCTATCTCTCTGGTGAGTACACATGCCCTATAGCAAAAATCTCTCTCAAATAAATAAATAAATGAAAAAGCTGGGTTTAACTAAAAAAGAAGGTGGAAAAGTGCATTTCTGAATGAGCTGATGAGAATGGATGTATCAAGATCTCGAGCCAATGCAACATGATCTCATGGACTGGAAATGAAACAGAAAATGTGAATGTAAGTGTGACTGTGATTATGAATGGCCATCAATCCAGATTGGGAGTGCTGCAGACAGTTGCAAAAGATGTAAGTTGGAAGGACCAGCAGATGGCATAATGGTTATGTCTCTGGACATGTGGTCAACTATGGTTCAAGTCCCAGATCCAGCGGCTTAAAACTCACACCGGGTGCATGTGCATGCATGCCCAAAATCCCAAGAGGAGAATGGAAGAGAAGGGATTGCAGTGTGGCCATCCCCCTGGAGAGTGATTTTCTCACTCTCTGTCCCTCCATCTCTCTCTGTCTCTCCAGCGAGTGCATACACCCTATAACAAAAATCTCTTTAAAAAAGATGTAAGTTGGAGCCACAGTCTGGGCTTGACTTTGAGAGTAGTGGGGGAGCCCTTGCATGATTTTAACTCTGAGGATATCACGATCGTATTTGCATTTTAGAAGAGCATCACCCTGGCACCCATGAGGAGAAAGCCTGGGGTGTGGGGTAAAGATAGAGTGGAGGCAGGCGACAGTGACTGAGAGAAAATGGTGGCCACATGAGGTCATGGAAAGGGGGTGGAGAGAAGTTGACCATTTCCAGAGATACTTAGGACGTCTCTATTGTCTTTCCCTGTGATCCCCAAAGGAAGGAGAACCCAAATAACTCCACATCGGCACTTAGCTGAGCCATGAGTTTGTACTTCTCCTAAGCGTGCTCTTAAGTAATCAGAGTGGAAAGCTTTCCAAAGTGCTCCACCCACATCTTCAACTCCCCTCCTGGTGAAAGAAACCTGGAGCTAGCCTGCCATTATTCAACGGAGCAGCGAGTAATGGAGAGCAGGCTGATTGGACTCGAAGTTTTTGGAAGGAAGGTAGCATTCGACATCCAAGTTCCCCTGGTCTCCAAATCTTTTGTGCAAGTAAATTAGTTTCATTTGTCTCAGGGCACCTTTTCCAAGCCAACTTCTTCCAACTTGCCTGCAAATGTTTCTCAGTGGAGTGTTTGAGGCTTGGCTGCCTCTCCTTGTCTGGAACAGATCTCCTATTACTAGGAAATAGCTGGGTAATGATTCTGGACCCTTGGACCCTGCTCCCCTCTCAGCTGTTGGATCAGTATTTGATACCTTGATCATTTTCTGCTTAACCTGCCCCCTCTCCTGCCTGTTTCTCATTAATAGCAATTTCATACTGGAAGCTGAGTTTCATACCCACCACCTCACCAATCTTTGGCGAGACGGTTGGGATTAACACCTGTTTCTTCAAGACTCTCTGGAGATGGAATAGGGGCACATGTGTTGTTTTCTTTGCTCACCTCCCAGACTGGCAGGATTTTCCTTTGGTCCAGTGGTCACGCATTCCACCGCAACCTAAAAACATCCAGATGATGGGAATATCATGTTGCTTGTTTCACATGGGAAAGCCACAACCCACCCTCCACTTGTTCAAGCTGCACTCAAATCTAATTTCCACGGCCCTTGCGAGTGGGAGCGCCACAGCCCTTGTGTCAGCTGTTGAAGTTTAGCAATAGTATTTCCAAACACGGGCCAGGACGCAGCCAGCAGGCACTAGACAGCTGAGTGCTGGCAGAGAATGTCACAGACACCTATGGCAGTCCAAACAGTGACTCATCCCACTATTGCCAGGATAAATATGGGAATAAATGGTATTTTTCTCTAAGCAGGAAGAATTGTCAAAATGCTTATCACTTTATAAATTATAACAGATTGTGCCTGTTCATGTTTTGAAATGTTCCAACCATTCACTAGCTGGCTTTTTAAATTTTTTTTTTAGTTTTTTTTTTTTTTTTTTTTTAAGTTTAGTAATAGCTTTAACTTGTTTTTCTTTGTTATAGGAGGCCTGGAGAACCCAGAAGTTTCCAAGCAGTGCTGCCACGTGAGCTCTGGATCCACCTGGCTGTGGTGGCCTGTGGCAATCGGCTGGAGGAGACATTGGTCATGCTCAAGTCAGCTGTGCTGTTCAGCCACAGGAATATCCAGTTTCACATCTTCACTGAAGATTCCCTGCGGCCAGAGTTTGATAAGCAGGTGAATTTGGGAAAATTGTGATACAGTATTTACTAAGTGCCGACAGACTACTTTTGAGGAACTGCATGGACTACTCACTGATGTGTTTTGCTGCATGCTCAATTATGTGACCTTGAACTTAACCCTGAGCCTTACTTTTCTCTACAATATGGGGATGATTACAACTACCTCATAGAGATACTGTGAGGGCTTAATGAGATGATAGACTTAAGACACTTGACATTGGGCTCAATCCTCATTGGTGTTATTAACATCGTTCTCATTTGGGAGGTCAATGGCCTATTTTTATTTATTTTTGTGTACTTTTAAAATAACAAGAACTGAGCCAGCCAGTGGCTTGGTGGTTAAGAGGGCTGCATGCCACATGACTGACTGCACTATTTGAGTTCCAGACCCAGTGGCTTCAAAGACATGCTGGTCGTATGTCCATGAGTACCCAAAAGAAGGAAGAAATGAAGGAGAAGGAATTGTGGTGTGGCCATCCCCTCTAGGAGGGTGCTTCCTCACCTCCTCACTTTTTCTTTTTCTCCTTCTCTCTTTGCCTCTCTCTAACAAGCACTCTAGCTCTATAGCAAAAACTAAAAAAAAATAGTAATGTATGTTCATGGAAATAAATCCAATGATTATAGATAAAAGTACTCACTTCAATCCCATATAAGAAAATGATCAAAGTAACAATGTTGAGTGATCCTTCCATGTTTTTATATACATACATACAGGTGTGTGTATGTGTCTATTTGCTTGCATTTGTGTACATACCCGTATGTATAACCATAAACACATGTATTTATCCAGTTTAAAATGTCTTTCTTTTACATAATCAGGATTATACCCTCTGTGTTATTGTAGAACTTGCTTTTCTACACTTTAATCCATATTTATCAGCGCAGCTACTCTGACACAGTGGCGACACAAGGGCCCTGCAAAAGCTGGAAGCCACATGACTGAACAGGAGTTGAATCCCCAGGCACCCCCTGAAAACATGATGGGTGCATGCATGGGCACCCAAGATTTGTATTCTTGAAAGTCTTCTGTCGCAGTAAGTTCTTGAATGTGGCAAAGTAAGAGCCTGCTTTATTTTAGATCCACTGACCTATGTCAACAGTGCTGCATCCTGTCACCAAGCTACCATACTAATGAGAAGTGCCAAAAACAACAGCATGTTGGGCAGGGAGCAGCTAATAACAGAAAGCTAGGAAATGTGTTGTTTTCTAAGGAAAAAAATCACCTCGACATCGTTACCAAGAGCAGCCAGGGGAGCTTTGGAATTGATTGGAGATGTTTTGTAAACAATCCAAGTCAGAGGAAGGGAGAAGGGAAGAGGTTGGAACAGCATTCTTAGCTGCTCTGAAGCTGCAGCATAAGGGAAATGATGGTGATGTGTGGCATTTGTCAAGGGCTTATGACTTAATGATTTCGTCTTGTTTAATCCTCACAACAACCCTTTGAAGAAGATAACTTCATGTCCTCATCAATGACTTGCTCATGTGGGGCGTCAGGCCAAGTTTACTGGCTCAAACCTTCATGAAGTTGGGACCAGCAGTTAGCGTAATGGCTATGTCCCTGGACTCCCATGTAGTCAACCGCGGTTCAAGTCCCGGACCCGGTGGCTTAAACTCACGCCTGGCACGTGTGCGTGCATGCCCAAGATCCCAAGAGGACAATGGAGGAGAAGGGATTGTGGCATGGCCATACCCCCTGGGAGGTGATTTCTCACTTTCTATCTCTCTGTCTTTCTGGCGAGCACATGCGCCCTATAGCAAAAACCTCTCCAAAAAAAAAAAATCCTTCATGAAGTTCACCTTTATACCATATACCTTCTGAACGAGTAGACAGGAGACTCAGGTTCAAAACTGAGCTCCACTGTTTACTTGCTGTGTGATCTTGGGCCATTCTTTTGACCTTTTTGAGCCTCAGGTTTCCCATCTGCAACTTGTGATTAGCAGAATTGATAGAAAAGATGATGAATCTCTAATTGGGATAGGTCAGTCACCTATTGGGATAGGACGACTGTCACCCCCTCAACCTTTTGAAAGGCCTGAGTCAGAACAAGTTAGTTCACAGGTTCCAACCCTAAGTATGTGAGATAATATGTGAGGGCTTCAAAAAGTTCATGAAAAAAATTGAATTAAAGTATGAGTTTATTTTGGTGGAAAAAATTGTATAATCTATACATAATAGGATGTTCTAAAATTTGCCAGAAGGCACATGTGCTCCCCAGAGACACATAGAAAAACAGAGAGAAATGCGGAGGAAAAATCATCCCCCCTGGGGCATGACCACGCTGAAATCTCTTCTTCATTTCTCCTTCCTTTTGGGATTGTTGGGTGCACACACACACACACACACACACACACATACACACACATACACACACACATATGTGCTCATGGAGTGTTTTTCAAGTTAATAAATCCAGAGCTCAAACCATGTGGTCAGTCATGTGGGATCCAGCCCCTTAACCACCAGGCCACATGCTGGCTCTGCATAGTGTTTTTATAATATATATTCTTCATGAACTCTTGGAAGACCCCATGTAAATGTTTGTGGTTTTAAACTAGTAAATTTTGGAATAATTTGTTATAAGGCAATAGTTAACACATTTATGTATGCATGTATACATACAAAATATTATTGTACATACGTATACATATGTATGTATATATAAAAGAAAGTATTCTGAATGTAACATTGTGTGACGTCTGAGGTCATAAGGTCAGCATCTTCCTGGCTTTTTGTTGGGATGTCTGGCTTGGAACCTGACGTCATTGCTCAAAGAAGCCCAAACTAGCTTATATAGAGAGATCACATGGGGAGGTCCACACAGACAGGAACTGAAGCCCCCAGCAAAGAGCCAGCCTCAGCCATCAAAAATGTGAATGAATGAACTTTCCATTGATTCCACCACCACCACCACCCCATCCATCTTCAAGGCTTCCAGGTGGGGCCCCAGATGTCAAGAGCAGCATCAACCTGTCCCTTCTATGCCTTATCCAAATTCCTGATCCATGGAATCTGTGAGCATAACAACTAGTTGTTTTCTAATAGTAAGTTTTGGAGCAGTTTGTTGTGAGCCGTAGTAACTGGAACACTATAAATCACTGGCTAAGTTGTTTGGGAAAATTATTGTAGATGTCTGGAAGCTGGGCTGTATCCTAAACTGCCCAATTACTTTATCCCTTTGCTGATCATTTCCTTAAGTCTTTGTTAGACCAGTGAAGTTCAACTGAAGAAGGAACTCATAAAAGGATGTTAGAAATTAAGCAAGGCAGGGAACCAGCAGTTAGTGTAATGGCTATGTCGCTGGACTCCCACGTAGTCGACTGCGGTTCGTGTCCCGGACCCGGTGGCTTAAAACTCACGCCGGGCGCGTGTGCATGCGTGCCCAAGATCCCGAGAGGAGAATGGAGGAGAAGGGATTGCGGCGTGACCATCCCCCCTGGGGGGTGATTTCTCGCTTTCTGTCTCTATGTCTCTCTCTGTCTGTCTGGCGAGCGCACGCGCCCTACAGTGAAAATCTCTCAAAAAAAAAAAAAAGAAAAGAAATTAAGCAGGGCACATGATATCACCCCATTCTTTTCCATGCAGGAATTATGGTGCCAGTTTAGGTTTAAAACATTGACTCTTGGGACTGGCAGGTGGTGTGGTCATTAAGGGCACTGGACTCCCACATAGCCAACCACGGTTCAAGTCCCAGACCAGGCGACTTGCTTTCTCACTCTCTCTCTCTAATCAAATTTAAATAAATAAAGTTAAAAGAAAATAATTATTTTCTTTTAACTTTATTTATATTTGACCAGAGAGGGACAGAATGAGAGAGAGAGAGAGAGGGAGAGGAAAAGTGAGAAAGCAAGCTGCCGGGTCTGGGACTCAAACTGAGGTTGGCCATATGGGAGTGCAGTGCTCTTAACCACCACACCACCTGCCGGCCTCTAAAATAATTCTTAAAATAAAAAAATAGAGTTGGCTTTTATGTAAGTCATAGAGTTTCTCTCAGTCTCAGTTTTGTCATTTGACTCACAGGGAAAATAATATCCTACATATTGAAGAGGTGTAAATGTGAGGCTAGATCAGATAATATATTGGGTTGTCAGAAAAGTCATGAAGTATTTTTTTATGGTTTTCTTTGCAAAAATGTGTCGTGACTTTTCCGACAACCGAATATGTCTTCTTTGATTCCACAAAGACCCCTGGATTATCTCCTATATGTTGGGTACTTCATAAGTTTCAGGGAAAAAAAAAGAACAGCAGCAGTTTTTTCCTACCTAGCCACAGGCAGGGGCTGGTACAAAGGGGCGGGTGGCATCACTCTTCTCAGGGCTGTCAGTTCTAATTGACATCGGGACATATCCAGAGTGTCTTTGTCCTTTGCACGTTGCTATGACATAGTACCACAGACTGGGCAACTTATAGGGTATATGTTTTATTTCTCATAGTTCTGGAGGCTGGCAAATCCAAGATCAAGAGAGGGTCTTCTGTTGCTGGCAGAAGGCAAGAAAGCCAGACAGAGGAAGAAAGGAGGGAGAAGGAAAGAGAATGAGAGGGAGAGAGGAGGTTGAGCTCACTTTTGTAACAGTCAGTAATGAACCCACTCCTGAGTTAATGACATTAATCCATCCTGATCATAGATCCCTCCTGGCCTAATCACCTCCTTTTAAAGACCCCAGCTTTCCACGCTGTGATATTGGGGATTCCATTTTCAAAACATAAACTTTGGGAACAAATCCTACTCATAACAGAGCTTGTGGTAACTTCCTGGGAAGCACAGAGCCACATATTTTACCTCAGGGCAAAAACAACCCAAAATGGCAGTTGCCATCATGATTCCTCTGGAGGCTGCAGTAAGGGTGAATTTACTGGTGCTATTTACTATCTACACTGTAAATACTTAATATTTTAAAATTTGGTTTATTTTTGTCATCTCCCAACAGAGAAGCAGAAACTGCCAGCCAGTTTATTTCCTCACCTCTAGTGGCAGCCCAAGCATGTGACTTAGTTTG